GTCTGTGTTAAAGGTAGGTGTGGTGGGCACGCTGTCTTGATTATGAAGGGGCGCCAGTTGCGCTACCTCGGGTATGAGGCACACAGTGAAGTGTCGTCTGTGTTAAAGGTAGGTGTGGCAGGCGCGCTGTCTTGATTATGAAGGGGCGCCAGTTGCGCTACCTCGGGTATGAGGCACACAGTGAAGTGTCGTCTGTGTTAAAGGTAGGTGTGGCAGGCGCGCTGTTTGATTATGATGGGGCGCCAGTTGCGCTACCTCGGGTATGAGGCACATAGTGAAGTGTCGTCTGTGTTAAAGGTAGGTGTGGCAGGCGCGCTGTTTGATTATGAAGGGGCGCCAGTTGCGTTACCTTGTGTGAGGCACAGAGTGAAGTATCATCTGCGTTCAGGACATTTGTTATGGATCTTGTCTGAGAAACATTAAGGCATGTGGGCACGAACAGAAGGCCCCGCATAATCATTGAGGGCGGCCAGCGTTGTCATTGAAAGGGCACATAGGCATCCGCCAACCCTTACTCTCATGTCCTGTCCGCCAGGTGAGCTTTTAAGCAGTAATGTTATGACGATGTGGTGACATGATTTATGATATAATGATGACACAGTTAGACTACATTCAATGTGTCTTACAGCTTTTAGGTCATTACCGACTGCACTGGTCACTTCGCACCCAGAACGGGGCCTGGTTCAACTGATGTGCACATGAAGTGGTGCAATCGAAGCACGATGTTCGTGTTATTTTCCACACGAAATAAATGCTGCCATTTCGAAAAAGGATATCACCAGGAAAGCAAAACAAGTGCAGAGCTGATTTCTTGTGCATCAGGCACGCAATCCACATAGCTGCAACCGCATCCGCACAACAATGCACTTCGAAGCTGGACAGAAGAGAAAACATGGCACTCAATGAACCTCTTACCTAAAAAAAAGCAACAACGGAACGGTCAGTCACTGAACAGTCCCTGAAACATCGAGCCGAGTTTTTACGACCTACAAGCTGACCGGACATCCAGCCAAACATCAGGCCTACACGTACTACTACGGTCGCCGGGCAGTCCGGCCGACACTGCCTCTCACCCCGCTCCTTCCTCTCGGCAGGGAAGCCGTAGTTGGGCTCGAAGGTGGGTGCGCTGTGGTGGTCCGGCGAGTAGGCCGGATCCAGGTAGTAGCGGGACACCCAGTGGCCCATAACTGGCCGCGTTCTGGTCCCTTCCGAGCCGGCTGCCCCACACAACCTGTCAGACAGCACAAACTGCCAGCTGGGACGGCCCAATACGACAATTGCACGCTCACGATAAAGTAGAGCCTCTGAACGCTGCACAGCTCTTGACTACTGGCGGTCAGTGTGACGGTCCACGGGTACGGCCGTTGGCATACAGAATGTGGGCAACTGGATGATATCCACATCATTATCGAAACAACTGGAATATGATACAGTTAGAGAGGTTTTTGCAAATCTTTGCATGTGCAGGTGAAGGACCCAAGCAATCATTCATGGTTTTACCTCCATGCAAGAGGCAGGCCAGGGATGAAGCTTAGTGATATAACCACTTCTCCAGGTCAACGAATAAGCAACAGATGACAGCGCCCTACAAGTCTGCCATGCGTAGTTGCTCGAACATAGTTGCTTGAATCATCTAACAAGATAAGGCATGGGTGACACTGCATTGTGTAGACCCAGGGGGCTGTATATGACACCTTGCCTTCATGAGACGAGCAATGCATGAATATTACGAGCAAAGCCAACCAGCAGTATACATCACCACATATTGTATTGTTGTAGTGCATCCCTACACTTGGGTGGCTAGTACTCTACCCATCGCACTGACATGAGCTTGTAGGGAGCAGAGATAGGGCTTCACTGTCAGTTTGACAGCTGTCTCGCACAACATAACGGAGGCCGTCGTCGCGAACAGATAAGGGATCCCATGACGGAAACTTCCGATGTTGCCGGAACGAACCAGGGAGAAATAACAGCTGCGCGGCGGCCAGCGGAGCTGCACGTGACAGAAGTCACATTTCCGCAGCTTCTGACAACAATCGAGAAAGGGAGAACTGAACAGGTGATAGAGGACTGACGCCCAGCCGACGTGATGTTTTCAATTTTGATTTCAGGATATATGGCGACTCCTGAAAGTTGTTTAAAGCAACAGGTGGTGGGCATTACATACAAGCCTAAATAGATGCTAGTCAGAGGGATTCTGCAAGGTTTGATAGTGGGGACCCTACCCTTCCATATTTGTAAAAAGCCTGTGCTGCACCATCCAATGACCCAGCTACCTAGTCACAGAGTCCAGACAGCACCATGATTATTGACCTGCTCTTGAAAAAGTTCAGTCCCAACATTTTAATTGAATGGATTTATGTGGATCAGCACCTGTGCTAAGCAGTGCTTCCTGTATGAGCATTAACCCAACCATCCAATCATGCATCTCCAGGTAAACTGTACAATGCTATGGTGAGGGCATAATGCATCAAAGTTCTTGAAGCTTTCCATAATGCCCTCCCACATAGCTGAACTTTGATGCTGCCGCTTCCATTGGCCACAGGCCATCCCCATTGGGAGCAATAGTGAGTACTTAAGGGGGCTTAACCCATCCTGCCCAGGGTGAGTGACTCAGAAAGGTGCTACAACTAAATGAGCTTTTGAGGTGGGAAAACTATTGTCTCTCAAATGTACAACCTGAAGGAAATCTGACAAAACCATCTGTTGAAGTAAAACTCTGATGTGGTACTACCTTAGTAAAATGTGTGGCTGGTATCTCTCAGTAATGGGGAATGCTGGGCACTAATTTGTGCATGGGGAAGTCAGCCACAAACCTGCACCATATGAGAAGTAATTGGAACAGCTGTTTACTGCACTTAGAGCGATGCAGGAGTGCACGTTGTCATTGAGTTGAGGTTCCTTGAAAACACAGGGGTGGCAGCAGCCATGGTGCCGAGGTTATGATGTTTGTTCCCTGCTACTTCAAACACTGTCAACCATGCCTCTCCTATTTGAACATTCCAGCAACCTTTGCATGAATGTTAGAAGGTCACTGGTCAATACCATGAGGATCAGCTGGTCAGGCACACACTTGGACAGCCAGCAAAACCAACTCAGCATCAATAGGCAAACATTCTCCCAGGAAAATTCTCAGTTAACAGCCTGAAAACAACACAATATCTATAATAAAGGCAATGCTAAGGGAATTATTTTAAAACTTGCTGCAGATGACTCCTTAAGGCCAGCTGTCACATTCAAAAAGGGTCACCCAGCCTTACCTATCAGCCCTAAATACCAGCTACAACACATGCAAGAATGGATACCGAGCCTTACCTATCAGCCCTTAACACCAGCTACAACACATTCAAGAAAGGACAACCAGCCTTACCTATCAGCCCTTAATACCAGCCACAACACATTCATGAATGGATACCCAGCCTTACTTATCAGCCCTTAATACCAGCTACAACACATTCAACAACGGATACCCAGCCTTACCTATTAGCCCTTAATACCAGCTACAACACATTCAAGAAGGGATACCCAGCCTTACCTATTAGCCCTTAATACCAGCTACAACACATTCAAGAACGGATGCCCAGCCTTACCTATTAGCATCATACAAGCCCAAACTAGAGCAAGAATACACATTTTGGGTTTTATCATACAAATATATGTTTCAAGGATGTTAATGCACACCATGGAGCTTGCTACATTCACAAACATTTTTTTTTTTAAGAATTGAGCCAATCGCAATTGAGTTGGAATTGGAGTTTCTGAAACTATGTTATGCTTCTTGAGGTCTGAAATGAATTCAGCTACATCAAATGAATGCAGCATAGGTATAAGCATCTGAAAACTTAAGGAACTAACCATCATCCCTAGCTCAGACACATACACTTGCAAACTGACATGCACATGTGAAAAATATGAGCATCCAATATTGAAAATGACATAAAGTGATCCTGGTTTATGGTATCTGAATTGGAACCAGCTCCAAAAATGCAGTCAAGTCACAGCTCAGCTGGCTAAAACATCTATATGTAGATTGACCCACCCCACACATGCCATGTTCAGTTAAAATGAAGTCACTTTGAGACCTTGTTATCTCTTCCAACTAGGAACAACATGCAGTTGGAGCAGCAACCATATTTAAGATAAGATGATGTCACTTGTCATAGCATACTACAGACTGTGACAAGCATCATACCACATTAAATACATAATACACTGAAATTTTACCCCCTCCCCTCCTAATTCTTCTGCTGATACATTCCATAATGGGATGAATGCCCATGCCACAAGCTCTGCTTAGTGTTTAGTGCTTGAGACCCATCCAACAAAAGATTCCTTCCAACGATAAAAACATAAGCACACAAGCAAGGGAGCCAGCGAATTCTTAACTACAGTAACACTTCTAAGGGACTGGATAGGACCATGCAATTAAGACCACAGCACAGGCTGCAAAAAATACATGTCATATGGACCATACATGACAATATGAAATGCCTGTAATAGTTTGTGTGCCTGCACTGTGTAGATCTGTGAGCCTGAGGCTGGTGCATGGTAAACCACCAATGTCATCACATATAGACATGATTTCAGGGAATGACCGAAGCACATACACTATAATATAAGCAAAAATTTGTGCATAATTATACTTCGAAGGTAATTTCATGCCGACATACATCCAAACTGCCTCTATCAGAAATAAATTGAAAGGGCAGAACAATTTGGCTAGACCTGCTCGGCACACGCATGTTCCAGATTAAGTGTACCGAAGCGCGGGTAAAACAGACAGATTTTCTGCAGGCTGGACCATAACCAAGTGAGTCCATTTAGCACTGAGCTGGTGCTTACCCTTCTAGCCTTGAACGGAGTGGAGCCTCCCGCGAGGGCGACAAGCAGCGTACGTTTTCAAGCTGGCGATTTCGTTGGGTATGTATTGCTGCTTGGAATGCTTGGAAACGAGAATAAACCAAAGATGTCATATATGCGCCAATAATGAAAATTTTCTTCCTGCTGATAGTGAGTAGCGTGATGATGAAGCAATGTACCAGTAAAGTGAGGCACATTTTTAAGCCCAAGATTAAAACGGTATATGGGATATTTGGAAATTAGAAGCATACACTTATATCGAAGTATTAAGAAATAAGATTCGATCGAAGAACAGCGAGTCACAAATTCCGCCGGCTGCGCTGTATTCGACGCACTTTAGCCTGCGGATTGGGGGCTGTTTCGGCTGTAGGGGTTGCCGTTCGCATTTGTGGAGGATATATGAGGTAAGGTACATTTTGGTTAAAATATATAAACGTAGGAAAATCAAGGTTGCTGTATGCACCCAGACTGCTGTTTTTAATCAATGTTGTAAAGGCCTGAGCCTTTTTCAAAAACTGATTTTTTGCGTGTGTCGCTTTTTCCCAGGGGGGGGGGGCATGCTTTTGCATTCTTGCCTACGGTCACCCTCAGTCTTTAGACATTGGTTACATCAGTGGCATTTCTGTTTCATAAAAGTGAGCTTGTGTCCTGCATATCAAGCTGAATGAATTGATTTGCGTATTTTCTGATGAGAATATCTAATTCTGGCTGAACATGATAGCTGTTGACAGCTGATTTGTGGGATCATGGTCCAGTTCATAAGCCTCAACGGTGGTGTCAGTATGATTTGTGGTGAAGCCTCCATGTTTCATGCCAGGGGAAGAAGTGGTGCCCATTGTTGATGCTGGTAAAACATGCTATGTCATGACTGCCAGTCATAGGCCAGGCCATGAGCCAAATGATGTTGCCTATTCTCCCAAAAGATACATAACATATGAAGCCCCACTCAAATCCCCCTCTGGAAAGTAGTAACTTGGGAATGTGTTGAATGTCTGTTGCCATTAAAATAGAAGCAATGGGAAGTAATACCCTTGTATACAGCTCTGCACAGTGTGCCATAGTAAGCAAGGGCGGCATCAATGAATTGAAAGTTTTTTCGGTCAGGGTGTACTTTCCTACCTAACGTTAGAAAAACTCACTGTACACCATTTGTCGTGTTTAGGGCAGGACATATAAATAATCACCAAACAGGTAGAATCATGCTCCTACCTTCAAATTTCAATAACTTTGATAGCGGGCTCCCGAGCCGCACGCACCGCACTGCCTGGACTCCCCAGTGCCGTTTCTGCGTTGCTGTTGCGTAAATACAATATTTCTGCTTACCAAGAACTCTACAAAATGTATGGGACCAAGGTAAACCATTTGTCGTGTTTCAGGCAAGACATATCGTAAATAATCACAAAACAGGTAGATTCATGATCTTACCTTCAATTTTTATAATTACGATAGAGAGCTCCCGAGCGCCGCACACACACAGCACCCGCGACACCGGCGCCATTACTGCGCGCATGTTGTGTAGATATACATTGTCTAGCTCTGTACCAATGCACCAGCTAACTGAGAACTAAATTCTGTTGTCCATCCTTGTCACCTAAGTTTCCTTTTAAGCAGGGTTATATGCACTTCTTGGAAGCTTGAGCTTTGTGGTTAAAAGTACTGTGCTACAACTTTCTGCTGTGTTCATATTTCAAACACCCAGGTACCAGGGCCTGGTGTGTGTACAGAACCAGTGGGATACAGGAAATGGGGGCTGGTTTTGATAAGAACCAGTTGGAATCAGCACCCAGTATATTTTAGCAGAAAAAGGTTGGGATTGGGAAACAGAATAATAGAGCAAGTAAATGTCTGGGTCCAGCCTATTGTATCATGCTAGACATGCCACACTGTGACCAAGGACAATTTACATCCTATCTAGCAATACTGCCATGAGGAACCTACCTCAGGGAATAAATATTGCCCAGTTATTTTTTGTTGATCATTAACATAGTGTACCCAGTGATAACACAAGCCATTAATGGATGTCTTCATGCTATCACGCAAAGGCATCATGTTACATCATGAAGTCATGTTAACATTTGTGCCACCACATGAAGTGTATACAGGCTTACAAAGCATTGCTAGATGCCATATTTGGCAGCAAAAACATCCAAGATATGGTCAAATACAGCTGAACAAATTGTGCTTGGCATTCATCAGCTGATTGGATTCCAGTTAGCCTCTGTGACACTTTTTCTTGTGTTGTGCTCTAAATAATCTCATTCAAAGGAGGCCTATGTAAAGAATGGTGTTTTGGCCCAGGAAGTAAAACATTCTGGTCTTAGATGTTATTATACATCATGCATGATGTATTAATATATTGTATAGATATATGTATACATGTTAATATATTATGATATTGATATATTGCTATATTGATATATATATATATATATATATATATATATATATATGTATATATATATGTATATATATATATATATATATATGCATATATAAATATATATATATATATATATTAAGGCCTTATTGATGATGTATTACTATTATGTTCAACCTGGCCACCTCAGGTTGAACCCTCATGCAAGCACTCAAGTAATTATATCAAATAAGGATGGCAATTTGAGCTATTTACCTTCTCTTGGTCCCTCTCTGGCAACCATGTTCCACAAACTTAAAACAAACCTTTTCTGTACCTTTGAGAGTGGTTTTGATGGTGCACCTGGCTGACATGGAATGTATGGTGTGTAAAATGACTGCTGCTATAAGATGAAACTTGAGAAAACCTGCACATGTCATCTAAGCAATGGTCCTGCCTTGAGCCTGAGTAAGACTGTCTAACTTTTTCAGCTATCCCCCAGTTGGCCCGAACACAGGAAATACAAGAATGTCAACACGCTCCACCAGGAACAGCGTCAGGACAAGTATGGCGTGCTGATTGATAGCTTGAGCGTGATGTGACTTAGTATGCAAGTGGCAATTGGCTTCCCATCTGTCCAGCATGTGTGTGCATGTGTGTGTGTGTGGTCTGGGTGATGGGCATGTAATGCTCAGTGCTTTTTCAGCACTTCATCTCAAGCCGAATGCTTGCATGCTGGCGGATGCTCGATTTTCGTGTTGTTCCATGTGGTCGCACGCTGCTGGCAGAGTTCATTGGTGGCAGACAGTGTGGGAGTGCATGCGGTCCCATCTTGGAAGGACCACCGTAGCACATTGATTATGACGGGATGACGGCTAGCATGTCAGATACAGGGTGCTGGGGCAGAGGTGGCCAGGTCCGGACGCCTGTCCCACCTCCGGTATCCTGCTGTGCTGCCGGTGTCCCGTCCTCCACGCTTCGCTTGCGCTGATCAGCCACCTTTTTCCTTTACATTGTTTTTCAGTAACCATGCTGTGGTGTTTTCTTATTGTGCTTTGTTTCACGGCCATTCGGTTGTGCGATTTAGATGCCATGAAGCTGGAACAGTGTTCAAACAATCGGCCATTTGGATGGCAGGGATGTCGATATTTTTTCATGCTTTACACCCCAGCTTGGGGCTTACTGCCTGCTGCCCCTCCCCTCGCTCAAAATCAGCCAATCAGCATCGAACTGGACGGATGTCAAACCAGTGTCTAAGCGCCTCAAGCTTGGCAATCGAGCTGGGTAGCTCAGATGTCTGGGTTCGGGGTCAAATGACAGCAGATTAGTGCCAACGAATTGCGTGCAGGGTCCGCCGAAGAGCCAGGGTTCATGCAGCATGAATTCGTATTTACATCCTGCACACCGTGCTGGATGAATTCTGGCTCAGCTGAGCTTGAAGCCCAGCTGGGCCAAACTGCCCTTCAAGGGTAGAGTGCAGCGGCATGTGAGAGTCGGGGCCGAGCTAAGCATGAGGCGAGGACATGCACCTTGAAAACTCTGTACGTTGTCTTATCATAATCGCATTCTGGCGGGTTGGGCGGATGCCGTGGTATGCCCTTCGGAGTGTATCGCCATCACGGAACAGGGGGTGGTATGGGGTGGTGGAGGCCCTTAGCGTTTACCTCGGTCGCGTGCCAGTTTGGCTGCCGACCTGATATGTCCCGTGTTCTGGGCCCCTGGTGGCGGCGTGCTTTGTCTGTATGCCGGTGCGTGCCGCGTCGGCTACCGTTCCAAGCGGCTTTTGAATGCAGGCTAATACGTCCAAAGTGTACGGGCCGCGCAGCGTGAATATTTTATGCTCTCAGCAACTGAACGTGACGGTAGAGTCGGTCGGTATTTGGTCATGCTCATCCTGTGTTGTGTTGCCCTCAACACTGCCTGATCGGTAAGCACGTGTGAGATGGGCAGATCTACCGTCGGCGGGGGCGTGACGCTCAGCCGGGCTCCGGGCTGCACTCCGCTAAGGACTCCTCCGCGCGCGCGCGTGTGTCTGGCAGGTCCGGCGGCGCAGCCCCTCAACAAGAGCTTCGTGAGCGGCGGCCAGGTGGCGCCGCCCAGCCAGGTCCCCGTGGTCACGTACTCCACCACGGAGCAGCCGCCTGCAGCCATGGCCGTACGTGTGGAGCGGGCGCGGCTCCCGACACGGACTGGCCTCCTGACCCGCGTACCTTATCGGCCATGTATCGGCCATAGTTTCGAAGTACACCGGCAGTCTATGGACGACATATGCAGTGTATGCATTTGCAGCAATGCTGTCATATTGATAGTATACGACATGGGTCTGTTTACATACAGTATTCCCCACTGGCCATGTATGTATCAGCTTAGTACGTTTTGTTGCGGGCCGTGTGAACCGTGGCTCGTGACATGGCCCTTCCTCGCTTCGCGACGCCAATATAGCCTACTTTGATCAGCGAGTACGCGATTAGGATCCTGTCACGAAACGAAAAGGGGATACCCATTGCCGGGGTCAAACGACACATCTCTCTAATCCGAATGCATCTCATGCATGTAAACTCTCCAATGCATTCGTTAACCAAACCTATTCCACAGTAATTAAATACTACCTGACGAAGCCCTACGTCGCCCTACGCCCCTTCCTCTCTTCCGCCAGGGGAGGCTTTTGCAGGGGCCCCAGGAATACCTGATCTCGCGATAATGGATCTGACATTCAATGTCGGTGGCACCCCGTGACAGCGCGTCTGACCCCGTGACCCGCCGACCCCGATTGTCCGACCCAATGACCACTGGTCGGACCATGTGGCGGTGCGTGGACTCGGCGGCCAGAGCCTCTGATGCCACTGACGCCGGCCAGACCGTAACCCCACGCCGTGACCGCAGGCTACTGCCGTCCCGAAGCAGGAGCAGCCAGCTGCTGATGACGTCAACATGGCCGAGGCGCCCGCTGCCGTAGCACCGGCTGCGGACGGCGAGGGCGCGAAGGACGGGGAGGGCGCGAAGAACGGCGACAAGGTGGCCCGCATGCCCTGGATGAAAGTTCAGAAAGGTATTGTGGTTCTCGCGGCCGCCGCCAGCCGACCGGGGGCGCGCGATGGCCGTCGGTCGGCGCGTCAGTGCACGGCAGTGGTGACGCCCCTTGCGCACCGACCCACCGTTCAGAGCTGCGTGCGTGCCTTGGGCCACGTGGAGCAGACGCGACTCCACGGCTACCTGGTCCTGCGTTTGTTTTCGAATTTCGCCCGGGAGTTTCTAGGTATTTGCATTCGAAGCTGTGGCAATACCTTTGGGAGCGCGGTTGGGTCATGATACACCCGTTAGCAGGCCGGCAGCCGCGCGTAGCCTGCTGAGGTGCGCACGTCAGCCTGATGAGAGCCCCCTCCGACAGGCGCCGGCCGCCCGCGCGCCGCGCCCTCCCCGCCCCGCCGCCGTCGCCTGCCGATGGGTCGCCGTCGCCGCGCGCCGGGCGGCCGCCGGCGACGGCGCGGCCTCTCGCGGGCGGCGGCGCGCTCGTCGTGTGCCTGCAGGCATTGGGTGTGGGGTGTCGCTCTGAGGCGCGCGCGCCCGCGCCGCTGCCGGCGGTCGCCACCCGGTCGCCGCCGGCGGGGGCCGGCGCGCGCCGTCGCCGCCGCCACCGAGCCGGCCCTGACGCCTCTTGCCCTGGCCAGCGCCCGGGGCTCGGCGCAAGCCCAACAAGCAGCTGATCCAGCGCCGCCTGCGTAAACACCTGACGCCGAAGAACGCCACGGTGGCGCTGCAGGAGATCCAGCCGGGCGTCACGTACCAGTTCTCGGCCATGCCGGGCAGCGCGCCTGGCGTGTTCACTGCTGAGGTAGAGGTAAGTGTGCGCCCCGGAACACCACGGGGTTCACGTACGAGGTGGCGGTTCGCCCACTCCCAGGAGACTTGGGTGGATTTTGCTCACGGAGGTGTAGACCCTCCCACCGTGCGAGACTCAGACACCGATGAGGTGGACGCACGTCTACCCCGACTCATCAGGGATGTCCGATGATAACGTGGTTTCTGACCAACCTGCCACTCGTGGGATGTACCTCCATCCGGGTGGCTAGGATGCACTTTTCTTTTGAGGGTACGCGATTCTGGCTCACAAGGGATGTCCGCGACTGAGGTGAAGTGAAGTCTCCTGGGCGCTCGAGTTATGTCCACCGATGAAGCGGAAGTGGCGCCCATTTCTTGACCATGAGTGCTGCTCATTGCCGGGACGGAGTTACGCTCACATCGGGATTGTTAGAGTAACCAGGGGCTGCGCGCACGTCCACGCCAAGCTTTGAATCGTGTTCCCTGCTTTTCGAAAACCCGCTTGCGGTATTTGCGGTCCCGATCGTGAGCCAGCGGGCCCCCGCTGAAAACCAAGTTGTGGAACGCCTTGTTTGGTGAGAGCGGAATGTGGGTAGCTTTGAACCTGTTGGAGAGAAGCCTGAACCGCCCATATTGGATTTTCCACCGCCTTGGAGACTCAAATTTCGTCAAACAGTCAGATCATAATCAGACCAGATCACGGAGCTTTGTAATGGTTGTTTGAAGAAGAAAATATGCAAACAATTGCATGTGGGAACTATCACGACTAGGACTGAAACGCTGAAACTACGTTTGG